CTCAGGAAAATCTAAGTATTTTAACATGACAATTTAATTTCAAGATGTGTTGCAGAAACTCAACATCTCAAACTAATGATGCCCACATTAGACTTTGCACTGATTTTGTTGGTGCTTTAGCTTTGCTACCATCCTTGTGCACTTTAAGTGTTACATTGCATGATTTTATGGTGTGAGGATATGTGAGCCATATTATGACACCACTTCTGCCCGCAGGCAGGAGGCCAGAGCTCCTGCTAGGCAAAGACAGTACTTCAGCCAGGTTGTTAAGAGATATGGCACCGTCCATGATCTAACGGGCCAAAAGTAATCTATCATTCCTGCATGGCCACACACTCACATCCTTAACACAAAGCTGAGCAAAATCATTCAATGCAAACATGTATTAATTTACTCAAGTAGGGTCAAAATCTTCAGAGTCAAATACGCACCCCAAAAGGAACAAACATTCCTTAAAAATAATGTTTTAGTCTAAACACCACAGAATAAGGTCAGCTGACTCTCTGTCTTCGTCTCTGTCCTTAACCTTAATGTTACGATTAAATCATTTGCAGATCTCAGGTCTAACAAGAGCGTTAAAAAAAAGTCACACATAAAAACAAAGTGAAAGGCATACATGAGGTGGAATGGAATTTTTTTTCCAGCTCTTGAAGCTATATTGCAGTATTGATTTTATAAAATGTTTTTACATTTACTATACACATTTTAAATTTCTTTTACATAGCTCAGTGCACTTAAAAATATGAATACACATTTGCGCATTCCTTTCACAAACTAGACCACATTTGTGCATATATTTACCCATCTGAGATAGTTTTTCAACTCTGCACCACATTTCCGAATAGAGAATGTGAAGCTGTCATCACGCCGTGTTGAATTTTGGGTAAATGCGTCAGTTCTGAAGCATCACGCTCATCATCAATTATGGAAATATACAATATATACAACAATAAATTAGTTAAAAAATATATTAAATGCTATCCCATAGAGCTACATACAGTAGGGGATGCTTCAAATGTCCACTTGGAGCAGGACCGAAACAGATTCATCTGTAGTGTTAGTATTTTCTGCCAAGAGCTGCGTTAGCTCCCAAACCTAGAGTTGAGGGGAGCTGAGTTCAGGGTGCAGTCATTTATCAGTTTTTGCACTCATAGACGTGATCTCTAGGTCTGCTATGAGTTATCTACAGTAAGCTAAGGTTATCCATTCTTAATTACCACAGTCAGTAAAGTGAGAACTAAACCTTTTAGCCAAACAAAACAAGTATGTATGCAGGTAAATAGAGTGCACCAGTCCCAACATTCAACATGGTGTGACTTACCATCACATTCTCTATACTACCGTTTCAACAATAATTCCCCAATATATCAGGGTCAAAAGTGCTCCCACGGGGGACTCTCTCATTCTACTGGGGGACTTTAACACCCAAGAAAATCTGTTAAGAGACTGGACAGACCTGGCAGGCCCAAGCATATAGTGAGGGTCTGCTGGGAACATCTGGCAGAAGTCCCGGTGAGAAAGGTCTTCAACTCCCACCTCTGACAGAGCTTTGAAAAGGTGCCAAGGGAGACTGGGGACATTGAGTCTGAATAGACTATGTTCCTCACCTCCATTATTGGGGTGGCTGCTGGGAGCTGTGGCCGTAAAGTCTTTGGGGCCTGTTGCGGTGGAAATCCCCGAACACGGTGGTGGTCACCACAAGTAAGGGATGCCGTCAAGCTGAAGAAGGAGCTCTATCGGGCCTGGTTGGCTCATGGGACTCCTGAAGCAGCTGGCAGGTAGCGACAGGCCAAGCGGGACACAGCCCTGGCAGTCGCCATGGCAAAAACTCGGGCCTGGGAGGAGTTTGGTGAGGCCATAGAGAAAGACATTCGGTTGGCTTCAAAGAGATTCTGGGGAACTGTTCTGTGGCTCAGGAGGGGGAAGCAGTGTTCTGCCAACACTGTTTACAGTGGAGGTGGTGTGCTGCTGACCTCAACTGAGGATGTTGTCGGCCGGTGGAAGGAGTACTTTGAAGATCTCCTCAACACACCTTCCATAAAGGAAGCCAGGGCTGGGGACTCGGGAGGGGACTTGTCCATTACCCTGCTTGAAGTTACCGAGGTAGTTAAGGAACTCCTCGGTGGCAAGGCTCCGGGGGTGGATGAGGTCCGCCACGAGTTTTTCAAGGCTATGGATGTTGTGGGGCTGTCTTGGCTGACACGCCTCTGCAGCACTGTGTGGAGCTCGGGGACAGTGCCTCTGGACTGGCAGACCGGGGTGGTGATCCCCTTTTTAAAAAGCGGGACTGGAGAGTGTGTTCCAACTATACGGGGATCACACTTCTCAGCCTCAACGGGAAAGTCTATGCCAGGGTACTAGAGAGGAGAATCCAGCCTATAGTTGAACCTCGGATTCAGGAGGAACAATGCAGTTTTCGCCCCAGCCGTGGAACACTGGACCAACTCTATACCCTCACTAGGGTGTTGGAGGGTTCATGGGAGTTTCCTCAATCAGTCTACATGTGTTTTGTGGATCTGGAGAAGGCATTTGACCGTGTCCCTCATGGCATACTGTGGGAGTTACTTTGGGACTATGGGATGTGGGGCTCATTGTTAAGAGCTGTCCATTCCCTGTATGACCGGAGCAGGAGCTTGGTTCGCATTGCCAGCAGTAAGTCAGACCTGTTTCCAGTGCATGTTGGACTCCGCCAAGGCTGCCCTTTGTCACCAATTCTGTTCATTATTTTTATGGACAGAATTTCTAGGCGGAGCCAGGTAACGGAGGGTGTCTGTTTTGGTGGCTGCAGAATTTTGTCTCTGCACTTTACGGATGTTGTGGTTCTGTTGGCTTCATCAGTTCAAGATCTACAGCATGCACTGGAGGGCTTTTCAGCTAAGTGCAAAGCAGCAGAAATGAGAATTAGCACCTCCAAATCTGAGCCCGTGCTTCTCAGTCGGAAAAAGGTGGATTGCTGTCTCTGGGTTGGGGGCGAGTTGCTCCCTCAAGTGGAGGAGTTTAAGTATCTCTGGGTCTTGTTCACGAGTGAGGGGAAAATGGAGCAGCAGGTTGATCGACGGATCAGTGCAGCATCCACAGTAATGCGGTCTACTTTACGGATGTTGTGGTTCTGTTGGCTTCATCAGTTCAAGATCTACAGCATGCACTGGAGGGCTTTTCAGCTAAGTGCAAAGCAGCAGAAATGAGAATTAGCACCTCCAAATCTGAGCCCGTGCTTCTCAGTCGGAAAAAGGTGGATTGCTGTCTCTGGGTTGGGGGCGAGTTGCTCCCTCAAGTGGAGGAGTTTAAGTATCTCTGGGTCTTGTTCACGAGTGAGGGGAAAATGGAGCGGCAGGTTGACAGACGGATCAGTGCGGCGTCCACAGTAATGCAGTCTCTGTATTGGTCCATTGTGGTGAAGAAGGAGCTGAGTCATAAGATGAAGCTCTCAATTTACCAGTCGATCTACGATCCTACCCTCACCTATGGCCATGTACTTTGAATCATGACCGAAAGAATTAGATCGCAGATACAAGTGGCAGAAATGAGTTTCCTCCAAAGAGTGGCTGGACACACCCTTGGGGATAGGGTGCGGAGCTCAGTCACCCGTGAGGAGCTCAGAGTAGAGCCGCTGATCCTCCACGTTGAGCGGAACTAGTTGAGGTGGCACCAGTTTAGCATGCCCCCTGGACGCCTCCCTGGGGAGGTATTCCGGCATATCCCTCCGGGAGAAGGCCTCGAGGCAGACCCAGGACACGTTGGAGAGACTATGTCTCCCGGCTGGCCTGGGAACACCTCGGGGTTCCTCCTCAGGAGCTAGAGGAGGTGTGTGGGGAGAGGGAAGCCTGGGAGACTCTGCTCAGGCTACTGCCCCTGCGACCTGGTCCCGGATGAAGCGGATGAAGATGGATGGATCTGGGTCAAATTCTGCACATACATAAAAATCTATATACATTTTTTATGGAAGGGGACTGTGAAGGCCTCAGTCCTGGCCTTCACCATGTGAGGACCTAAACCACCACCAGCCATGGACTTGGGTGGGTAATTCATATTAGACATACACAATTGATCAATGAGCATGCACGTTTGATTAATTTTGTATTGTTAATGTTTACCTTTTCTTTTGAGTTATGAGAAGGGGGGCCCGATACAGGATGTGATGCAAAGGAAGACACAGGCTTTATATACCCTATGCTTCCTGGTCCATGGATTGGGGGGGGTGGTTCAGCCAAAAGATTAGACTTTGGAAGCAGCAGGTTTAAATACCTCCCACGAGGCCTGGACTGCACCAAGTGCCCATTACATGAAAGGGGGGAGTTTGGGAGAAATTTATTGTTTATTTGTTGGTAGTTTATGTTAGAACTTTATTTGTCAAGTTATGTTAATTTCTTTATATTTAAAGGAAATATTTAGTTGAGAGCAGGCTGTCTGTTTAGTGTTTATTAGTTGATTGCTTCGGTAGTGTCTTTAGTTTACCCCTTGTGTGTGTTATTGGTTTGGCCAGTCAGTATATATGTTCCCCTGTGTGTGTCATTTGCTAGGTCTGTTGGTTTTGTTGAGACAGTTCAGTTTGCTGTATTTTGAGTTTCCTTATCTTTTGTTTACCTCTTTTAGGGCCCAGTTTATCTGATGTTAATTTTGTATTTTTCTTGCTTTTGGGTTAATAAAAACTCTTTATTTTGAACTTTGGAAGCTGTGTCTTTTGCCTTACTGCTTGGTCCCTGACAGGGACCTTATTAAATCCCCTAATCAACAGTACTGACTGCAGAATAGGCCACATGTAGGCCTTCTTGACTTTGATCTGTTTGGATTAAATTCAAGTCTTAAATTCTGATATTTTACATAAATTACTAATTCTATGAACATGTCACCTCAAATATAATATAAGCAGTTTAAGGCGTTTTAATGTATGAGCCTATGTATAGGCATATAATGTACGCCACTTAGCCAGAAGCCATACCTAGATGTTTGTTTCTATATATGGAGCGTGGCTGTCCTGCTAGGACGTAGTGCGTGCTCTACGTGATGACGTAGTGCCGCTAAGCTTTTCTCACCCTGCCCGCTAGTAGATCTGTCACATTCTTTGGTTTATCGCCGCCTCGGACACACCTCATTTAGAACAGCCATGGTGGGTTTTTCTGTTCTGCTCGGCTTAACTAGCATTATCATTGTTTTTATGTGACCATCTTTGAGTGTATTTTTTTTTTAAATAACACGGTTTAGCCTTCGAAAGATGTTAAGTTAAGGTTCAATATATGAATTGGCTTTTTGGCTGCTAGCGGAAGTGCAACTTTTCAGAAGCTAACGTTAGCTTGTACGATAGCTCAAGTTTGCAATCAGACTAAGCGCTAATTACTGTCGCCAATGTACTTGCATGTTTAATAATCATTGCCAAATATGCTGTCTTTATTGAGTAGCTGGTTTGGGTAAATCTAAGTTACCTAACTGAAACATATCTTCAAGAGCATTTGAATTTGACCCGAGCTAGCTTTTGGCAGCGAAAGGAACCAGTTTAACGTAGCTTAATTTTTCTTTGAACAGTCTGACTTCTCAGAAGACCAAGTCGCCGGTGAGTTTTGAGTTTGCGTTTGGCATTTTCCCAGTCCCACATGTTTTCCATGCTTTCATTCTTGGTTTAGATGACACTTTGTCCACTATCATCCTGCTGTATGCCCGCTTGTCAGAGGTGTCGTGATTATAGCCTAGGGCTTCCTTTTATTTCTGTACTGTTTCACCACTTTCCACTTGCAATTGCTTGTCCTTTCCAGATTGAATTTAACCTGGATCAGATTCATGGTAAGTCAGTCAAAAAAGGACGGCTTTGGCACAAAACTGATGGCTATCTCGGAGTGTTTAGGGTGTGATTTGCATGTTGGTTTTGGATAAGCTAAATTTGTTTTAAATGTGAATTAATTTTGTTTGACACTGTTTTTGGTACGTCAGAGTTGGTCACATTTAGCATATAATGTTATCTTTGCCGGCTTTGACTGTATTGCATTGTTATTGTATGTGTTCAGTTGTGCATTAGCAGTACTGTAAAGCTAAACATAGCCATCTGCTCTCATAAGTCTTGTCCTGTTGGATTGTAGTCGTCTCCAGTTATGTCATTTTGCCTTAAACTTAGCTATATTCCGAGCAGCTCATCTCTATGAATGTGTCCTTTTTTGGTGCTGGATACAGTGGTGGATGGTTCTTGTCCTAGAGCTGTTTTGTTTAATCATCCCTGACATAACAGTCTGTAGCTAATCTCATTCTCCTCCCACTTTCCTCCACTCCTCTAATACCAAATATGGTATTGGGGAAAAGTGTTCATGCACCAGAAGGGAAGAGGCACATTCCTCAGAACAGGAAAAACTTCACAACAGTGCCTGAGCTCTTCTGTGGCAATAGGCTGTCCCATACCATAAAGAAGAATAATACAACTTCATGTCTTCTGGATTGCTAGATCTTAGCCAAGTTGTTTTTGTTTGGCTGTTGATCTTAACTATGTTGTTAGATTAAAGCTACATTAATCAACCTTGAAATCGATGACAAGACTGCATCGTTGCTGACAATTGATTAAGTCTCCAAAACTCTGCTTGAACAACAACAAATAAACAAAGATACTTGATTCTTGTTAATGTGAATGTTTTTGAAGGCTCCAGTCTTAATGTTTGTTCAACAGTACTGTAATATATTGATGTCAAAGCAGTGTTGGCTAACAGTGGGTGTGAACAGTGTTCCATGCCCCTTGTGAGAACAATCTGCTAGGCAGACAATAATAGGTTCTTGCCAAATCCGGTAAAACTAATAACAAAAACACTCTGCACTCCTGACAAAATCATCTTTGATTTGCTACTGAAAAATAATTGATAAGTTATTAGAGATGACACTGGTTTGACATGATACTCATAGCACAACTTTCACATTGTTTGATTATTGCAGGTGATTGAATTTTTAAAATTATGCACAGTTGTTTTAAAACCTCCTGACTAGTGTTGTCACGATACCAACATTTTGGTACCGGTACCGGTACCAAAATGTATTTCGATACTTTCGATACTTTCGATACTTTTGGATAGTTTTTCAGACAAAAAGAGAAGGCAAAAAATGTCATTACTGACTTTATTTTAATAGAAAATCTTAGAATAACATCAAAATAAAATTCAAAATACTAGGCTTTTCTTATTGCACTCAAAAAAATTTTAGAACAGTCAGTGTGAGTAAATAAAAAGTATGAAGTTAGAAGTTCTAACTTAGAAAAAAATATTTTCATTACATATAGCCTGTCTTAAGTAGGACCAATGTTTTTAAATGGTATGTTACCAGTCTTTATAACATATTAAATGGCTAAATATGTATGTAAAACACTGAACGACTGTGCTGTAACCACATTTAACGTTTTGAAAAAACATTTTTTTTATCAAAATTTAGAAAAACAATTTCTATGTTTGATAAGAACTCTTTATCATGTGTTGCACACTTAAAACTATTGAACTATTGCATTTGAAAAGGGCACATGTCATGAGTAAATTACCTGTCGTTCCCTGAACTCAGTGTGCAGGTCTGGGTGTTTCCGCCCTTAGCCATGCATGTTTTAAAACATCGTTTACACAATGGCGCATCAACGTTAAATGCCTCTCCTTGCTCATTTGTTTTTATGCCGAAGTACTGCCATATAGCACTTCGCGCCCCTCGTTTGTCCACAAGCGGGCACAGCCGGCGGCGCTGCAAGTACCGGTACCGTCCAAATGCAGTATAGTACCATTTTAAATGCCTCAGTACCGCGGTACCATACTAGTACCGGTATATCGTGCAACACTACTCCTGACAATTAGTTGATTCATTACATTGTCACGATAATCAAGTAAAACTGCCAAATGTGTTGGTAGTTACTTTGGTTATCTTTACATTATTTTAAAATACAGATGTTAAGTGCAATAAACTCATGCTGTCCACTTTTATAGGTCTGTAAGCCTATAATGACAAATTGTTGTGAATGTAGGAAGTTTAATTCTGTTTAGACCTAAGTGTTTAGCTTGTTTTTGTCTGTGCCAATCAAACAGTTGAGCCCTAGTGACCGTTTTCTTTACTATTACCTTTTATCTTCAGTGTGTTTTCATCTGTTTGCTCCAGTGCTTAAATAAAAAGCTAGACATACATACGTACAAGAAAAGCTGTTAAAAATGTGTAGCAGTAATTTAGCTATTTTGATATTTTGGGAACCTGAATTTCTAAATGTTAAAATTACAGCAAGGATGACAGAGCCTCCTGTAAGGTCACATTGATGAAGTTTCACCTTGTTTTTGTTGGTGAAAAAGGTCAGGCTGACCAGATGGCTAACATTTGAATTACATGCTGAAGTTAATGGGGCTAATGGCAGTGTCATATGGCAGTGTCATCCAGCAGAGTGTTGTTTTTTTAGTGGTTGCACCACAATGTACCATGCAGGATTGCAGATAGAAATAATTTCAGCTTTAAAAATTAAAATTTCATGCGTTTTAAATAAAGATGTACTGCACAAAATGGGGTTTCCCAAAGAGGTGGCCAGTTTATCAGTATATTATGGTCCTGGATAGTCTGGCTGGAGTTATCTTGTCTGGAGTGTCAAGGAAACCTAGGCAGGCTTGCCTGTAGTGCAGTGTGCCCTGTCTGTTCTCTTTAATTTTAGGCTTGCCAGCAAGAAAACAGATTATTTTAAAGCCTAATCACTTGCCATACTTTGTGCCTTCTTTAGTCTGCTTGTTCTCATTTTCTTCACAAACTTGACTTTTCTGTTTCCATCTCTTTCCAGTTTACTTTTCTATCTCTGTAATCATTCCTCTATATGTCTGCTTATCACCTAATTTCTACAATAATTCTTAATTTCTACTCTAATATGTCATGTGTCTTTGTATCCTGCA